TTTTTTTCAGCCAAACTTTCTTTTAGTTTGACTTTGAGTTTAGGACCGTCACCATTTAAAAACCGTCTTTTTCATCATTCAATTTTCAAGCTTTAACTTGAGTCTTCTTGTTCGGCTCAAACACGAACTTGATGAGAGATTCTTTGATAGACAACATCTCAGGGAACTCAGTCTTCAACTTAGTCGCATCGAGCTCGTTGTTACTCCTTGGAGCTACAATCACTTTAGCTTGTTCCTCCAATGTGAAATTCTTCCAAGTGAAACTCGGGTCAATGTATTCTCTGTACATCTCCAAGATCTCGTTGTGACTCACGACTCCCGGGTTTGTAAAGTTGTAGATCCCAGTTAAGTTCCTCTTTGCCATTTCAATCGATATGGGGAGGAGCTCGTCCAGGATCGTCATCGAGTTTGGGATATCCACGACTTTCTCATACCGAGCAATCTTCGTGATGAAGTTTCTCGGGTTTGTTAGATCTGAAGAGATCGGCATCCGCACTCTTAACGTGCATACGTTCTCATAGTTCTTGAGCAACTCCTCTACCTATCAAAATCCAGATCCCAACAATCAGTATAATGAAACACATTGAACTAATCTACATTTACATTCGAAACATTTTACGAGCTAATTCAAGATCTAAAGACCTAAGCAAATAACGAAACAGATCGAATCTGAAGTCATTTTTTATTTAAAGTATTGCAAAATTGAAGAAACTCTCACAAATCTGTAACATTGAACTAAACACCTACATTTCCTCTATAACGATTTGAGAGCTAATTTAACATTCAAAATCTAATCAAACACACAAATTGGTACTTAATTAGCTAACAAACAAAGAAACGGATCGAATCTGAAGAAATTTATAAATCAAAGGATCAAAAATGTGAAAACAAAATCTCACCATAGCTTTGGTTTTAGAGTAGAAGGATCCAGTGAAATTAGGAGTATCTTCTTCCTTGAATCCAATACCCGACCCGAGAGGATGACCCGAATCATACTCAAATATACAACCCGTCGCGTAATTGATCAGAACAAGTCCTTTTTCCTTACAAATGTCGGCGAGAGTTAGGGTTCCGGCGACATTGGTACGGATAGTCTCGACTTTGTGAGATTCGCACCAGTCGACGTTAGGTCGTCCGGTGACTCCAGCGGCGTTGAATACGTGGCTAGGTTTCACGGATTCGATATCGGCGACGATCGATTGACGATCCTGAAGTCTACCGGAGCCATAAGTGTAAGAGATTCCTTGAGATTCACAGAGCTTACCGAGTAATCCTCCGATCCATCCTGTTCGGCCGTAGATTAGGAAGTTGAATGATCCGTTGGCTTCTGTGCCCATTTTTTGTTCTCGTCGGTGATCGGAGAATCCGCCG